GGTAGATTGGTGATGATACATTGCCCATCTCGGTTTTCATCACATGCATATGGTTCCATAATCTGTACAGTTTAGCCTCACCCCCGACACCTAAAATATCGATATCATGTATGCCAAGTAGGGATATGTCTGGAACTTCACATTGTGGATTTTTGTAATCACTTACTAACTCTCCTACTGTAGATTCCATGAAACAGATTTTGGACCTTCTCCCTAGTTGAGGATGTCATTCCGTGACGAGCCTAGTAAACCAAACCATGCGCGCGCGTCATGTCACTAGATGGCAATTACACGCCTTTGTTGTGGTGATTGTGTATAACAGATCACCGCTTCAGTGCTTATTCTCTGATTATCAATAAGGTGTAACTTGTTACAAATTGACATGGACAAGGCTTCGAGCGTAAGCGCATCACTCCCTTGCTGGCCTAACGGAAAACCCCTGGCAACCCTACGGGGTACAGCCGGCAAATATGCATGATACGTCGACTCGGGGAGATTTTCGATTGGCACAAATCCTCCTATGTTTCGGTACGAGGCGCTCGAGAGGTCGATACGAGTCATTTCGTCTTGGTCGTCTAGCTGGCGAGCTGGCGAGGTTCTGGCGAGGCTGGTCACAGCTTGACAGTTATGCACAAGACAGTTTCGAGACGAAGACCCGCTGAATAATGCTTACGAGGTCAGCCCAGTTCACAAGGTGAGCGACTATCCGGTGACGCTAGCTGTGACCTGCAGTAGCCTGGAAGAGAAGATAACCTTCACGATCTCCCAACCCCACCAGAGTTACCCCCTCGACGACTATTTGGCAGGACTGCAATCGTGTGGAATATGTGACAAAGCATTACATATCGTTGGAGCTATGTTCTTGCGGATCTGATGATCAGCAATTCCAGCCTCTTCGTACATGCTTGGACTGATGATGTTTCTCTGTGTGACGAGAACAGTTTTGATAGCAAGTGGCAGGGTGAGGTTCATATTGCTTGCATCTCTCCATCTCTGATATTACTGTTGTAGGTAATTTGATTTGATGTTGGGGTTCCAGCGTTGGGTTACAGCGCATCTCGTTCCGGTTACCGACATCAAGATCATTGCGACCTGGGGACATTCCCTAGATACCAGGTCAAACCCGCATGCCAAGTCGATCCCGCTCTCCGGGCTCAATGAGTCTGGCCAAAGGAGCACACCCTCCATTCTGCACCACTGCATCCCTTGCTAGAACTATTATATACACAACGCCGCCAGAGTCAATACTACTGCAGTGTTTACGTTTTTACACGTGGGATACAGTGAGACTGTACGTTACAGCATAGACTTGTCGATGTGACCAGCTCCCGGGCAGGGCCGTGGTAAGATTTACCGTTTAGGAAAATGGTAAAGACTCGAGACATCACCAAGTATGAGGCTACGTAATCTTGCAGGTACTGGACCTACATTTCAACCACTTGTACATCTTTGCCTCTTATTTCATTTTACCGGAGATACGTGAGTCTTCCGCGAAAGATGTCACTCTCCCAGGGCTTGGTCAATGCTAACTTCTCTCATCTGTAATAACAGCAATCCTAAGTGCCTACTATTGGGCTCTAACGACAAAATGCCAGAGCGTGTCACTAAGTTGAAGAAGGTAGTCGCGCAGTGGAAGTACTAGAGCGGTCAATTAAATGGGAATACAAAAGTCTATCTGGGTATCGTTCAGGAATTTATGGAAACGTCATCGTTTGATTTGTCTCGCCTCAACTCGTTTCTAAGCGAGGGCAGCAGCCTTCTTTCGCTTGTTATCAAAGAGTTTTGATAAGAACGTGAAGAAAGAGCCTATCAACAGCGTAGCTCCCGAAAAAGCAATGACGCCATGCCACGAAGACAGTTTCTCCGAGTTTCCAAGAATCGCGCCTGCAATTGGGTTGCCTATGAGCACAGATATGCCCAAAGGCACGAAGATCATGCCTAATCTCGTTCCCAGACGACTCAGGTCGGGCGTGAGCGATGCGATTGCACTTGGCGGTAAACTTGTCACGCCGCCATTGAAAAAACCAAAAAGCAACACGAAGACGATGATGCCCGCCACGTTGTGCACCCCAAACCAACCGAAAGCAAGGACTGAAGCGCCGAACATCGTCGCGATGAGCATTTCCATCGACCCCCATTTATCAGCGAAGAAGTTTGGCAGAAGACGACCAAACACACTCCCGGTGTTTAACAGCGTCACGAGATAAGGCGAGAAGCTCTCACTAACGATCTTGTGGCGTATGGCATATAGTTGGACGTAGAAAATCGGGACGTATAACCCCAGAAAAGCGAAGAAAGCCGCAATGCCGAAGAGTATAAATGGTATGTCGGTGAGTGCGCTCTGGTCGATAAATCCACGGCCCTTGGCTGGTGGCGGGAGCCTTGGTTTTAAGAAGAGTAGAGGCAGAGGTGCGAGGGCGAGGAGGATGAAGGCGATGATTCGAGTTGCCCATCCGAAACCGACAATCGGCTGTAGCTTTCCGAAGATGATAGGAAATATGATTCCCGCGAGTGGTGATCCGACCGACTGAATGCCGAGCACGAGAGCACGACGACGGGCAAAGTACTGACTCAACACAGCAGCGGACGTGAGAAACAACAGACCGGCTCCCAAACCGACAGTGAGACCTTGGGCGATAATCACTTGCCAGTACTCACTGCATAAGCTCGTCGTGAACATCCCTAATAGTTCGAGGAATAAGCCGGCAGCGACCATCGGTCTCACATATCCCATATCACACAACGGCCCGCTGACGATGCCCACCACACTGAGAAGAGCAGCTTGCAGCGATCCGATCCAGCTGATATCCGAGGACGAACGGTCTGTCAATAACTCGGTCTCGTAATATGTCTGGAACACACCGAAGCTATTTACAAGGCCGTATGTATAGACCATGATAACGAACGCCCCGACCAACACAAGCCATGCCTCCAAACCTCCATCTGGCGGTGGACTGCTGAGAGGAACCGGAACGTTGTCAGTCGAGATATCGGTCTCGTTGTCTGTGTCTTTCCCTGTGTCTCCTCCATTGAAGACGCTATGCGCCTCGATATTTGAGTTCGTTTTCTCCATTCGGCTTTCGTCTGCGGCACGTCGCTTTCTGTCTCGGACTAGATTGTTGTAAAGCAATACGCGCGGGCTATGTGGAATAACTCGGTATGAGATCTCAAGCTTTTGAGGGTCTTTGTCTGTCCTGATGCCGATGAAGTCGTGACCCTTAAATATTCGAACAGTCGTGTCGTGTAAACTCAACTCAACGTGATTGTTTCCATACGAGGAAAGCAACAAATGCTCGGTTCGAGTCAACAATTCGAGCAACATAAGGGGCTGTTCTCTTGGAATAAGCAGGCCCACAGATTATCTAATAATCGATTTTGCCACTTTTGCGTTCTCTGGTTTCAGCAAGGAAAAGCACGCTAATTTTTGCTTGTGGATTCTATGACCTAACCATCAGCCCCAACCAATAAAAAACGTCAATTTTGCTGCAAATGGAGCCCATCTCACAGCCTGAAAAAAAGCAAGGTCAACTCACTTCTCAAAAATTTACAGCGCACCTTCCAGCACACCTTCAGCGCTTCGAGCCTTAAGGCCCTGTAAGTACAGAGCGTATGCCCTATAATACAGCGCACCTTCCAGCACACCTTCAGCGCTTCGAGCCTTAAGGCCCTGTAAGTACAGAGCGTATGCCCTATAATACAGCGCACCTTCCAGCACACCTTCAGCGCTTCGAGCCTTAAGGCCCTGTAAGTACAGAGCGTATGCCCTATAATACAGCGCTCACTTCGACTCTTGTCGCATACCACGAAAATGAAGAATGGTGTACGGCGTCAAAAATACAAGGGTTATGCACTCAATTGAGTGCTGTAATATGTACTTTTGTCGAACGTTACCGAATGTTATACGCGCTGTCCTCTGTATACGAGGGAAATGAGGCTATCGCGACCTCTATTCAATGAGATTTCGGCTCGAATGCGACGATGAATCGCAGAGAACGAATACGTTCTAGTTTGGGTGGAGATCTCCACCAGAATCGATTATTTCTAGTTTCACTTATTTCGGGGTCAGCACGGGCCAGAATCAAATAATCGCTTTTGGGGGGAGAACGGCCCCTAAATCCTTCTATAATGATTAGGTACAGGGAAAGCACTCGAATCAACCTACCGACCCAAGCTTGATATTACTATTCCGCGCCGCGACAAAGTTTCCACATCTCATATCGTGTTTACATATTAGTGACTATCTGCCCGGCCCGCAGCGGGGATAGCGTGCAGGCGATCATTCCCGCTCAGATTCATTCTCCCACTATCAATACGGCCGACAGCTTACAAATTGTTGTCAGACTTGTCGGAAAGAAAATCGACATACACGCCCTTCCACGGAGGATTAGTGAACATTTATTTCTCTGACATGTCGTGCGATTCCTGCGTATAGTACGAGGTCACACCGTCTATAAATTCATTGGGGATTGCTGTTGCAAGCTTGGAATCATTTTGCCTGTTTGTCAAGGCGTGCTACGAAACACGTGGAAGTTCCCGTCTGCGGCTGAAGCTTGTTTGTTTCTGGTAAGAGGTGCCGAAAAAGGACCTGCTCGGTCACGGAGGGTCGAGACCGAACTTTATTAGCGTGGTGCATTTCGTGATTCCCAAGGGGTTCTTTTTTTTCCTTTAGTAGCCCACCTGGGAATTATTATTAGAGCACGGCAATGCATCGCGGTAGTCACAGACGAGATAAGATCCGGCCGAAACGGCGTATCGTGCACGGGTCTTCGGCGGAGCGAGCTGGATGCCTGTCGGCATACCGCGCAGATTGACAATGTCATCAGAGAGCCTCATTCTATATGCATCTAGCATGTTTCATATATAGGAGCTTTGGATTGTATAACATGCCATCGTGTACGATGGAAATTGAGACGCTTAGATGGAAATCTGTTCTAAGCAGGAAAATCGGTGTATTTTATGATTACAATATAGCCCTCACTTTGCCAAATTCTGGCAATTCAGTTTCCGTGGCCTAGCGGTTATGGCGTCTGCTTTACATCTGAGGTACGCAGAAGATCGCCGGTTCAATCCCGGCCGGGAACAGTTTTGCTTTGGTGCTTAGGTCTCTCGCTGTCAATATATCATTTTGCTTTCTGCTGGTAAGAAAGCTTTGGTGAAGACTGGTTGCTATTGAATCCGGCCTTTTGAATTATAGATGCAACCTTCCGTGCAAAAACGAATTTGACTACTGCCAGTACCTTATCCTAAACGTTCTCTTCAACTCAAGGGTCATCGAGGTGTTTTTTTCTTTCACCTGCAATCTTTAACTGCGATCTCGATGAGGGCTGATCGACAGTGAATGATACACACCGGCATGCCTCTTTCCTTTTCGAAGTAAACACATTACACGAATGTGATATGTCACTTACACATGGCTGAGACATGCAGGGCTGAAAAACGAGTAATCGGACGACCTGAGGGTTGTACTGAGATATTGCTCCCAGGGTTGCATCAACAAGTCTGGGGAAATATGGGGCTGCTAAACCACTGTCAAATCTGGAAACATCTGCAACCACAATCTCAACCTGACAACATAACCACGCCAAAATGAGCAGCGCAACAGCTAGAGCCCTCTTGCGGCATGCAATCGCACGGCCAGAGATAAGCAGAAGGTAATTGGGCCATCTCCAACTCAATTGAGTCTCACTGACCTCTGCAAAAGCAGCTACAATGCCACGCAGGCAACCCTCTCGGCAGCTCGAGCTTCAGCTCCATGCAGCTCGCGCACAAGCCGCCAGCAAAGTGTCCTAGTCTCGGCGCCTTCAACATGCAACTCTCACCATTACGGCAGACGGGCCTTTCACGCTTCGCCATCGATATACAAATCCAAAGCCGCAAAAGAAGACGACGGAGGAAAGAAAGGCAAAAAGTCCAAATCCTCCAAGTCAACCGACACCAAATCCACCACAACCTCAGACCCCGAAGCTGGAGAAGCAGAAGAAGGCCCCAAACACCCCCAACCCAACGTCGAGGACCCATTAGATTTCTCCGACGTGAAATCCCGCCTCTCAGCCACCTCGGAGAAATTCCACAACACATTCAAGAAATCCGCCGGCCGCTTCGAACCCGACTACATCGGGTCCCTAAAAGTGCTCGTCGACAAAAAAGACAACATATCCTATCCCCTGCGGGACCTCGCACAAGTCGTACCGCGAGGCGGGCGAACCGTATCCCTGCTAGTCCACGAAGAGCCATACGTCAAAGCCATCATGAGCGCGATCCAGACCTCGCCGGAGTTCAACCAGCAGCCGCAGCGAGACGCGGATAACGAGCTGGAACTACTGCTGAAGATCGAGCCGGAGAAGCCGGAGGATGTCGTCAAGAGGACGAAGGCGAATGCGAATGCCTGGAAGGATAGGATTAAGGCTGTTAGACAGAAGAGGGAGAAGACGCACGATACTTGGGCCAAGGGTAAATTGATAAGACCTGATGCTAAGAAGACGCTCTCTGCTGAGCTGGAGAAGATTATCAAGGCTGAGATTGGTAGTGTCGATGCGCTGGAGAAAGAGGCTCTTAAGGGGGTTGGTGGTAAGTGAAAATGAGTTTGGTTGGGCTGATACAACTATGTGTTGGTATAGTGGGAGGCTTGTGTAAGACGTAGAACGGCACTGCGGTGCATTGCTTGCAAAGTGCGCAGCTATTGGCATTGAGGGGATGGGATACCATGTGCGATTACATGTACAATATGTAGTTCTGATTCTTTTTTACAAGGTGTGATATGGTACAGTACTAGTCATCCTTTCTGAGCCGCGATCCTGAAGTCTCAATAGACATACAGCCCACCATATCTACCCACCCCTTTGCAATAATGTACAACTACTACCCAACACACTCAAGCCTTCGCACCCTTCTTAGCAGCAGGCGTAGGTCTAGGAACCGCCTTACCACCAGGCAAGAGGCTCCTGATCTTGTCCTCGATCCTCTGGCTCGCCGCCCCGTTCCACAGGTTATTCTTCGTGGTGTAGTTCCGCACCGTTCCGAGCGTGTCGCTCTTCTCCACGAACTGCGGGCCCTTGTACAATCCCAGCATGGCATCTTGCAAAACGGCGTCTTTGGTCGCTTGTTCGGTGGGCTTGAACTCGATCTGGGTGTTCTCGTTGATCCACCCTTTTACTTCGGGTGAGGGCATAAAAATACCCTTTCCAGATGCAACTCGTGTGGTGAGGTTCTCCGGGTTCCAGACTTGGTCGGCGCCAAATGGCTCTCCACCGCCTAGTAATCTCGCTTGTTTGACTACCGCCGTGTGATTTGCAAAGCTCGAGTTAGTCGCGGCGACAGCTGGACCGGTGTTCGCGAGTTCGTCGAAGGTGAGGGCGGGCTCGTAGGTCGATTCGACGCCTAATCGGTGGTTTTGCTCCATCTCGATGAGTTCAGGGCTGCGCTTGATATCCTGCGTAGGTCCATCATCTGCACCATCATCTCTATCTCTTCCTTGTCTCCCACCACGTCCTTTGGGCTTACCCCTACCGCGACCGCCGTCGCGGCGCTGAAAGCCTCGCGATCCTCTTCCTTCACCGTCTTCGGCGTTGAACTGTCTTCGAGGGTCGCGTCCTCGACTGGCGTTAGGGCCACGAGGACCCCGAGGCCCACCAGCTGCGGGAGCACCTTGGCCCTCGCTGCTGCGAGGATTCCTAGATCCATTGAAACTGAAACCTCCACGACCACGGAAACCCCCGCGGAGGACCTTGGGCGCTGTTATCACCGTAGGTGTAGATGTAATAGCAGAAGCAGCAGCAGATGGTGCTGGCTGTGTGGCAGCATTCAAGTCCAGCTTCCTGTAAGACTTTGGGATCCACTTCTGATTTTCTTCGCCCGCCTGTCTAGCATTTCTCCTTACGGCTTCTTGGATCTTGTGCTGCGCCTCGGGTGAACCGATTTTGTCTAAGTGAACAAGATCGTTGACGGCGTCGGCCGAGCGGTCCCGTGCGGAGGGTCTGGCTGCTCTATTGGCTCTATTGGGTCCCTGCTCGTCGAATAGTGCGCTGAGTCGCTGGGCGGTCGAGAATTGTCGTAGGGAGGACGCAATGCCTTCACTGACTCTGACGAGGTCAGCTCGGGCGAGGCACCCGGCCGACTGTATGGGATGGCGGATCATTGAGCCTCGATGGATGTGCTGCTCTTGGGGCTCAAAGCCGTGAAATGAACTTGGCTGGTCGCAGTTTTTGGTAGATGCTTCAATGAGCTTGGACGTGAAGGGAAATTAGGCGCTATGAAGTTATGCGGGTTTGTCAACAATGGGGTAGCCGACAATTAAGCACGTATCTACATGTAGGTAGGTAGCTGATGCGCATCACACTTTTTCATGTGCTTCAGTACTACGAATATGTCGGAGGATTGGAAAATGTCCTTTTTGAGCGAGGCTCGAAATCACGATCAACAATGGGAGAATTCGTCACTGGCATACTTGAGTGCTCGATCCCTAACTGGCTCAAGAAGCACATACATACATATCTCTACCATCGCCGCATTAGTGACCAACGTAATTGCGACACTCTATCCCTTGGGTCTTCCGTTTTTGCTCCTTTTTGGGTTCTCACAATAACTTTGTTTTCCTTATATCGATTTTTTCATTTGTAAGTCCGTCATCATCTTTTGTATTTGACGCGCTTCTATGGGCGTGGAAATAGATGAGCAATTGGTGGTAATGACGAGTGTGCATCGTTCACTGTGCCCTGGCACCCAACAACAACCATGCCAAGGTATGTCAATATTGGTAGAACTGACTCTTTAATCCGGATAGTATTAACATTTGTTCATTATGTACATAACAAAGAGGTATCACAGACCTCATGATATTACACCGTCCATCTCCCACTTGCAACTCGTCTCATTCTTAGCTCTGCAGCGGCTTGTTCATGCCGCCATATGTGACCATCTTGATGTGCTGGTACTCCTCAATGCCATACTTGGAGCCCTCTCGTCCAAATCCAGACTCCTTGACACCACCAAACGGCGCAGCGGCGTCTGAGATTAGGCCCGTGTTGACTCCAACCATGCCGACCTCCAACGCCTCAGAAACCCGTGTTATCCTCTCCAGATCGCGTGAGAAGAAGTAGCCAGCGAGGCCAACTTCAGCCGCATTAGCTAGGTCAACAACCTCTTGCTCGGTCTCGAACTGAAAGAGGCCCGCTACTGGGCCGAAGGTCTCTTCGGTGGCAATGGCCATATCCTTGGTCATGCCCGTGATGACAGTGGGCTGGTAGAAGTTGGAGCCCAGATCGGGCATCTTTTGACCTCCCACAATCACCTTACCGCCCTTCTCCTCGGCATTTCGCACATGGGCATCCACCTTGGACACGGCACGATCGTGAATAAGAGGACCATGTGTGATACCCTCGTCGAAGCCATGGCCAACCTTGAACGCCTTGACCTTCTCAGCCAGTTTCTTAGAAAACTCGTCATAAATACCCTTCTGTACGTAGATTCTGTTGGCACAGACACATGTCTGACCAGAGGAACGGAACTTGGATGCCACTGCACCGGCGACTGCGGCGTCGACATCAGCGTCGTCAAAGACGATGAACGGCGCATTGCCACCGAGCTCCATGGACAAGATCTTCAAGGTCGAAGAAGCATTCTTCATCAGAAGCTTCCCAACACCCGTAGACCCAGTGAACGAAACTTTGGCGACCGTAGGGTGTGTCGTCAAGAGCTCGCCAATGTCTGGGGTATGCTTATGCGTAGTCACAACGTTGACAACACCCTTAGGGATACCGGCGCGGTGAGCTAGCTCTGCCAGCGCCAATGAGGTGAAAGGTGTCTCGCCAGGAGCTTTGCAGACAGTTGTGCAGCCGGCAGCGAGCGCAGGCCCGATCTTTCGGGTGATCATGGCGGCCGGGAAGTTCCATGGCGTGATCAAACCACAGACACCTACGGGCTGCTTGAGAGTGATGACCCTGTTGCCCGGGACAGTAGCTGGAATGGTATCGCCGTATGTTCGCGGAGCTTCCTCGCTAAACCACTCGAAGAAAGCGGCAGCGTAGTTGACCTCACCCTTTGCATCTGCCAAGGGCTTGCCGTTCTCCAATGTGATCAATGTAGCC